ATATATATATATATATGAACGAGATCAAGGGTTAAACGTAAGGACAAACAATAAAGAGTGATCAAGGTTATATAACATCAAAGAAGAAAAAGAAAAAAAATGAAAGACATATATGTATATATTCACTGTCCAGGGTTCACAACGTAAGGACAAAATAGAATAAGAAAATGACCTGAGATATATCATATCAAAAAAGTAGGTAACGAGAAGAAAAGAGGAACGAAAGAAAAGAAAAAGAATATAGTACCAGGGTTATCCTCTAACAGTGAGTTTGGGCGTGGGTGTGGGTGTGGGTGTGGGTGTGGGTATGGGTGTGGGTGTGGGTATGGGTGTGGGTGTGGGTATGGGTATGGGTGTGGGTGTGGTTTTCTCTTTACGCATACCCACATCCACATCCACACCCACACCCACGGTGAATGACAAGTCAGCACATAAATACTAATGATATCGTTCTTTTACTCAAGATCTTGTGACAAGATAGTAGCAAACGATATCTTTTCCATGATATTGACAAGATCTTAGACACAGATGTATCCGATGCGCGCAAGCTGTTCAAATACAAATTATATTTTCATGATCTTGTCAAGATCTTGCTTTTCGGTCCCAAGATTTCAAGATCTTGCTTGCAAGATGTTTGACTAGGGAATTAGCTAAAAATGTAATAAACAAGTCGATATCAAGTACTTCAATCTAGGATCAAGCGAATCGATTGTCGATTAGCGCTACTTGTATATAGCCGATTTTAAAAAATTTTCTCTAAACATGTAAACACATAAATACCAAAATCATACATATCTAACAACGACGATTTCCTATTGGCATTTGGCCAATTATTACTTGAGTTAACCATTACAGAAAAGGTAATCGTTTCCAAAGCATCAGCATATATTGATCTATATCCCAATAACCTACTAATTTCTGTATTCAAAACTGAAGACAATGATAAGCCAGAACAAACGGAAAACCTTTTAATTCTTCATTATACACACGAACAATGCTTTCAGTCCTTCAAACGAAACACTCATCACGGACATCATCCTAATTGTTGGCAACAAAAACAATCAAAATCACACTCGAGAACTGATGTGCCACAGCCTGCGAATTCTTCCAACTACTCCATCCAAACATGCAACGCATCACCGAATTCCATCATTATCCTCCATGTTCAACTCATAAACACAAACTCAAAGCTAGACTTATTGTTGTCTTTCCTTCCTGAAGTTCATTTTTTTAAACTGCAGTTAACTCTCGAATAAAAACCTTTTAAGCAAATAATAAACGATATAGAAAAAAACTGCGAAGAATACATCAAATTCCAGATTTCCAAACAAAGACCACCACCAGCATCATCATCATCAAATAACTCACTATAGAATAAAATTAGTCTTCGAATATCTTATTTATGATCATCAGATCATTCGCACAGATAGTTCACTTTCTAAGTCATCTGATGAAACCCTTAAGCAAGGTCGAAACCGGTCATAGTTAGTTCATCTATCTCACACCCTCACCCTTCAGGAAAATATGATTTTATTCTTCTTGTATTTTTGTTACGTTATCGATTCTTTGTTAGATTAAAATAATTTTACCTATCCATAAAAATCTTGTCCATCGTTACACTGCTGATGATTCTGATAATTTTGATTTATTTTAGCAAAATGTATAAAATACACTATTGAAATATTCAGTTTATGATACAAAGAATCGATCTAAATATTTCTCATATATGGAATTAGGTGAAGTTCAAGTATTTATTTAATGGTGCATGAATAGTAAGTTATATTTATTATTTATTATTTTGGAAATAAAAAGCTCATGTTTAATGCTAGAATATCAACCATAACTCGATTAAAATACAAATAAGTCTGTCGTAAGTGAAAAAAGAAATGATAAACAATTAAAATGATATATGTATTATCACAAGTGATTAACTATCATGAGTCATTGTATCATCTTCACTATCATCAATGCTTTCTACGTAAAAGTCACCTGTTGAACTACCAGCACTCCATGTTCCGTTGATCTTGAATCCGCCCAGTTCATCACAATCAAGTGTTCCTTTGTGTTCAATAGCATTTTTTCCAACGTATTGTTTTTTGAAACTAATATTTCCTTTATTATCATAATCTCCAGCCATTGTGAAAGCTGCAACGTTATCGATGCCTTGACCTGAAACTCTTCCTTCTATTAAACTAAAGAAATCAAAGACCATATCAAAAGATTGATCAAATCGATAATATTTTCCATGAACAGCACCACCTTCAAACCGTGTAATTACTTCAGATTGATTAGAATCTTCGTCTACTTTCTCTTCAAGAGCTTTTTTAATACGTTGTAAAAGAACATCAAAACTGGAATCAAATAGACTTTCATTTTCCATATTCACTTTGTCTACAGAAGCTATTGCATTTCCTAACCATGTATCCTGAAAATTCTTCTCATTCTCAAGAAGAACAGGAACAATATTTTTCTCCAATTGCATAGCATATGTAAATTCTTTTTGACAATTAACACTTTTACTATAAGCGAGAGTATTGAAACTGATAATCATCGCAGAACCTTCAACACCATTAGCCATAGCAGAATTGATATTACCTTTCATATCTCCAGCAATATCAAACCAAATCGGAATATCGTTTTCTTTGAGCTTATTTGCTACTTTCTTAACTAACTCTTGACTATTCCATTGGTAACTTAACATAATATGCAAACTTTCAGATTCCGATGGTTCATTAAGAGGTACTTCTAAATGAAAGCTATCTGATATGTTGTCTAGAAACCATTTTCCATCAAAGAACAATATAGATTCTTCTTCAGTTATAGTTCCAGAATATTGAACATCATATTTTTCGACATAATGCTTTTCAAATTCAAATTCTAACTCTTCTGTATCCGGTAAGCAATTATAACTTCCATTGATTACAAAGATACCAACTTCATCTTCTCCTTCACCAGCAATATATCCATTTACCATAGTAAACATATCAAACTGCAAAGGAAGTTGTTCTCCCGACTGCATATAATAACCTTCAACAAGAGTTTCATCAACAAGGAAATCCATTTCTTGCTCTTCATCTCCAAAGTCGTTGACATATGGTTGTAAGTGTGTTATAAGTTCATCAAGCTTTTTCTCAAATTCATTAGCATTCGTCATTTGTACCCATAATGCACCAGCACAAATGACACCGAGCCAACCACTTTGCGAGTAAGGATCTTGCGCCTTTACAGGAACTATTGGAATATCAGCTTCATCGGCATATGATAGAACATATTTTGCCGTATTAGATGCTTCATATGCTTTACTCATTAATGGTACAACAACTCTCGCTTTGTGAGCTGCTATTTTTATCATGTCATGAAGTCGTATTGGCGGACAAACAGCAGGAATACCTTTAGCAATCAATCCTTTAGTTATCTTTTGAGCTAAATCATATTGACATGGACAATAAGAAATCATAACTTTACTTCCTTGTTTTCGTGAAATTTGCGGTGGTGGTATCTTTTCAATATCCGTTGTATATGGTCGTGAAAGAATCAAATGCATGGAAAATTTATCATGCATCTTGCCTATTTTCCATTGTCCTTCTATTACACAATTTAATGCTTCAACAGAAATCTTTCCCCGATATTTAACGGAATCTTTCCCAACATATTGCTTTTGCATTTTGATAACACCAAAACCATCTTCAAGCTTGTATTCACCAGCAAGAGTAAAAGCTCCATCTTTATCATCTCCTTGACCAAATACTTTTCCGTGTTTCAAACCCAAAAACTAAAAAAACATTATAAATTAGATATTCACATTTATCTTGATTCAATTTAATAAATACCCTAAATTCCATTGGATATTCCTTTCCAGATTGTTGGTATTTGGCTTTCAGATTCCCCGATTTTGTTTCACCCTTAAATAGATACTCTTCTATTGGTTGTGGTTCGTTTTTTTCACCTCTTTCAAGAACAAAGTCACTAGTTTTGATTCCCATCGATATCAGAGTTTGCATAACTTCATCAAAGTCAGTTGAACAACTCTTTGTAGGAGCTAAAATAGCACCTAGCCAGTCTACAGGTTGAAAATCTTCACGAATCTTAATAGTTAAAATAGGTGTTTTAGTTTGATCAGCATAATTCAATAGTTTCGATCCAACATTTGATATTTGTAACGAAGGAGATGGAAAAACTAGAACCACAGCAGCATTTTCAATGCCATTTGCAATTATGATATTAATATCTTCATTTTGTCGAGGATGATAAACTCTCAATCGTCGTTGGACGAAATATTTTTTTAATTTTTCAGCGGCTGATGCATCAGACTCATCTTCTTCTTCATAGGCAAAGAAAATATGCTTCTTTGGTTTGGTTGACTGCGCTATTGGCTTTGGTATTTTGTCAAAAACTAAAAGATAAACTACTTTGTGCAATAACATTTCTCTTATCTTCTGAGAAGGCAAAATTCTTTTTTAATAAAAACGTAAGTTTTCTATCGCGTCATCTAATCATGAACAGGACTATTATCTCATAAGAAATTCATTATGATTTACCATATGGCTGTCGGAACTTGTCTACTATGTCAATTATTTCATTTGTATCGGTGAAAAATATCAAAAGATCGATCTCCAGGAAAATAAGCTTTATCGAAACTAGTGTCATGCATCAAATCAATAAACACAGCTGTGACAATTTTTAGATAGAAGACGAGGTAGTGCTGACAGAATTACGTCTTACTAAATATCAAGCATGAAGTTGTTTACATACAGAGCAGACATGTTTATATATGAAATCAAAAAAAAAAGAAGCAGAAGGTACAAAGGAAGCGAAAAGACGCAGATAATAGGAGGAGAAATCATCGAAACAAACGATATGAAAATATCGCTACAGTTATGCGAAGACAAACGTTAGTATGAGCTTTCATAGACACGTATACGAATCTTGGCCTATCTTTGTGATACTCTTTGTTATAACAATTACCCACTTAAAATGATGCTCTACAAGCAATGCTCAAACTAAACATAAATGGCTCATAATAACACAGCCACATTCATAGACTCCGCGAAGGACAATATATTAAGTAGATTTTTACAAAGAATAGAATAATATGTCAGAGTAAGTAGAGTAAAAATGTAGCGTTATTCTTCAAAATTATGACTATATTCTGTATGGCCATTAGCGCATGAATCAGCACTATAATCGACTAGTGTTTGTTACAAAAATATTTATCTAGAGGAATTTTTAATATTAAAATAAATCATATTGATTAACAGCAATACTCTGTATACGCTATTTGTATAAAACTGGTATGCAATGTCTTCATCGAATTACATACTTGAAAGTTTATAGATACCCGAATGAATTCAGATGAGTGAATAGACAGAAAAACTCATTCTATTCCATTGAAGACCACATTGAGTGAATTTATCTAAATTCTTTAACCGGCGTCTTTTCATGAAACTCTCTGTTTTGAGAGTGACCACATCCTACACTGATATTCTTACGCTTCATTTAGATATAATTCTCAGTCGTTTTGCAATTTCTCGTACACTTTGAAACCGTTAAAAGATCAACAGTATATATTCTCTCAATGTTTCCAAATTATCTAAAGTGTTCCTCCAATAAGTTTCCTACAACTGCAGTTAGTCACCATTTAGCACATCTTTTTGAGCATTACTGGCAACTTGTAGATGCTATATATAATTCTTTATGAGTATATAATCGTGCACTCTCATGTAAGTTCTATCACATTCACAGATACTACTTAATTTCAGAAATGGCTGGAATCGTAACATGAAAAGTTCCCATGGTAAATTTCAAAATTAAAACGTTATGATTACTTATTACTTATATATTTGATTTCCTTGTCTAGATAGAAAGCCTGAGATCGGATTGAATTTTTCATTAAAAGAATCTTTGCATCGAGTTTCACCGAATACAAAAGCTTTTTTATAGACCATATCAGAAACAAGCCAACATCTAAACTTAAATAAGAGCAATCATAGGCAGTTATCATCGTCTTGCTTTGATGGCGCATACACCTAAACACCATTATCCTTCAATACAAAGTATTAAATGGCTACTTTTGTATATTCAGTGTTACTGATTCAGACTGTAACTGTTTCGAAAACTTTTCTTTTCATACCTGAAGAGTACTAGATATTTCTATATCAAGCAAAGCATCTTAATGCATACACTCTAAAAAAAATAGGTTTATTACTGAACCTTGAAAGTTCTAAACTTTGACGCCGAACGATTTTTAGTTCGGTAAAATAAAAATCGTTCCAGAGTTTTAATTCAAAACTTTTTAAGGTTCTGTAGATTCCACAAGGTTTCGTCAGTCATAATCAAAACACTTTGAAGTTTTTGCAGAATGTACATGAAACTATTGACGATTTTGTGGATTATGTAAAATTTTCGTATACGACACGCCAAACCTTAGATAGTTTCGCAACATATCAGGAGGTTTCACATATTTCAGATCAAGTCAGTGAGAGTTTGGCACGTCGATAGTAGATTCCACATCACTGATAAGGAACCCTGGATAGTTTTTTAAGCTATGTAAAGGTTCGCATATCATCCACGAAACCATTGATAGATTCGTATGTGATACGAAGGTTCTGTATGTTTCATGCAAAGCTTTACTGTATTAGAATTTTTTTAGTACCAAACTTTAAAAGTTTTCCACTTTCATGCGAAAACTACTTTTAACTTTGGTGTAACTGATAGTATTTTGGCAATTTTAGTACCAAACATTTGGCGGGTTGCGCCGATCTGTTCACTATTTCGTACATAATGAGCTAAATTTTTGATGACTTCGTAGTATATTTATGGAATCATTTCGAGCTTTCTTGTCAAAACGAAGGTTCATTCTTTTTTTTGTAACACCTGAAATAGTTCAGTAAAATATCCAATAATTCTGCTTTCTCTCTACAAAACTATTTGTCACTCCATTGTATGTGCAATCATTCCTTACAGTTTATGCGAAACTCTTGATAGCTTCGTACCATGGTCACATTTCCAGTTACCTCATAAAAATCTTGTATGGTCTTCTCTGGTACTATTAGGTTTTGTATTTTCAGTACAAAATGTTATACGTCGATGCATATGATTAGAAACTTTAAACTTTTCTCTTCAATCATGAATGGTTCAGGTTTAGCTTAATTGTTTAATACGCCCGAAGAGGTGTGTTTAGAAAAAGGCTAAAGTCAGAAATTACTATAAATTCCTATATAATATATATACCTATAGAGGAAACACCAAAATTTACTCGAAATCACAAAAATTGACCATAATATAACAAGAAAATTTTAAAGAAGCCTCCATCATTACACATTAATAGTAAAGAAATTTTCGAGAATCTTTCTAAATTGCAAAGTAACAGAAATCTACGAAAACAGCTTCAGATATATCAATATATGTAGCAGGAGAATTACCAAGGGGGAAACAGCTGATTCTATGTCCTTGAAATCTCTTGGAATCCCGTGAAATCCTTTGTACTACGATAACCGTAGGTATAGTTACCGGTCCAACTACGATAACCGTAGGTACGGTTACCGGTTCAACTAAGATAACCGTAAGTACCGTTATCAGTTCAAGCCCTTTTATATTGCTATTTAGGGTCCTCTTGAATTTCTTATTTATTCCCTATTTCTTTATTAAATTTCCTTTCTCTTATATCAAATTAATCTTTATGGAAATAAAACTTGATTTTTCCATTGACAATATCTCATTATTTTACTGATATTTTAATATAAGAAACTGACCATGTCATTTATTTTATCGGCCAGAAATTATGTTCGCTTTATCTTTACAATACACCAAGTCTTTTCTCATTAGCCTAATATCTAACTAACATTATCTACTGTAAAGTCACTCGAAAGGCACAATCCCTTCCAATAGAAAATATTTTCTTTTGATCAGCTGATTTTCTGTTCAATTAATTACACAGTTGAAGTAAGAATTCAATTCAAGATTTGACATCATTAACTAGAATTACTGAAGGGAAATTTATTTCAATGTTTGGATCTTGTACAACAAGAGAAGTTATCTTCAGTTAATTCTCTTCTTCTCAATAAAAATTTTGGCTGAAATCCGAGTCTAGACTTATATTTTGTCTATTGAACTTCAGAACTTCAAACTTGAAAATGATTAAATAGTAAAAACATACTTAATCGAACTTTTTTTGTGTGGATTACTAATGTTTATAATCGATATGTCTTACACTTATCATACTCTTCGTAAAGTGTATGTGGATTTCATAAAATATTCTCATATTATAAAAGATTTTTCTTACTTACCAGTAAGCTTTTGTCGTAATTCTAAATTGATCAAATATCTGTTTTTCTTCTGATTGAATGTAACACTTTGAACACGAAAACAAACACCAGGTGTAATGAGTTCTTCCTCTTCTTCTGGATATTTCGAGTATGGACTTATATCCATAATAAAACCATCCAACACTGCCATGATGAATAAAGTATTTCCCAGTGCTTTTGCATTTTTAAGATTGCGTGTGCAAGATGTATACACTTTAAATGATTGATATGAACTTTTATTTTTAGCCATTTCTTCATATTGAACGATTTGCTCAGGTGTCACATTAGCACTTCGGTAAATTGTTTTGTTCTTAGTCAATTCTTTGTTAAATGGTTTATTCAATAATAATAAACAAAATGGACCTAACGTAGGTACTTTGCTTCGCCATATATTCTCTTGATCTTTGCCTCCTACTAATTTCATAGTTGCATTCAATGCTTTATATAAGAAATTTTTCGATGTATAGAGATAAACACATTGTTCCCATACTTCTTCCATTCCTTCGTGCTTCTTTTCTCTAAGCATTGTTGCCATTTTTTCAGCTTTTCGTTCTTTTCCTATTTGTTTTCCTTCTTCGATAATACCTTGAGCTACTTTTTCAACAAACATCGGTATCATTTCTGAAGTTTCCGAAGATAAATCATTTTGTTCAAGGTTTAGGTATTTTTTTATTTCAATGAAAAATGGAGATGCAGAACCAAAATGACCACCAAATGAAGATTCCGAACTGATGGGAAGACCCATAAAGCGTTCTTCTCGTAAATGTTTATCTTTGCTCTTATGTTCAATTTCTTTTATAGCTCTTCTCTTGTGATGATCACTATTAGGCATTTGATATTTACTGTCGACAATAATATTATCATTGACCGCCACGGCTTGTGGTTTATACCTTTTATAAGTTTCTTCTACGACGAAATTTCCTGTGCCGGAAGAATAACGCTGTTCCACTGGTACGGGTGTAAGCCATGGATTCAAATTTGAATTCCAAAACCAAACACCATTTTTTGACGAATCATTTGACGTTGAATATGGAAAAGTGGCCATTATAATTATTTTCCTTTCTAATCAGTATCAAAAATCGAAACAATGCCATAATCAGTTGTTTTATAATACATAATAATATAAAGGTTCTCATGAAATATTTTCTTTAGAAAAATATTTGTTTCAATCGTTTTATGGAACAAAAACAATTCTCATATTACATTAAAATGGGACTTCGATTTGTTATAAAACAGAAGAGAATTATGCGATGTTTGAGGAGTCTCTGTCAAAAGCAAAATTCATCGTATTGTTTAGTCGAGGAATATTCTGAAACCAATGAGTGAATTTTATTTAAAATTACCATCTATTGACTTATGCATTGGTTAAAAAGTTTTTAAAAATATGACATAAAATGATAAAACGAATCCATATTCAATCTACCTCAAATGTACCGATCAAAATAAGCAATTTTATGAAAACATAAATTTTATTTATTGAACGAGTTTGAAAGAATCAATGAGTATTTCGTTTGTCTTATCAACCAAAACATATTACTCGTTTAGATATGAAAAATTTAGTATAGAAAAGAATATATTATTATTCAATAAATTTGTAATTAGTGCAATATTTAAATGAGTATAAAAAGTAGGAAAATAAATGCAAGTGCAATACAATGAATCATATAAGTAAACTACGTAGTCAAAGAAATTGAAGGATTGGTAATTATGATAACATACAATTCAAAATACATAAACATTAATATATAATTTGACGTGACGCTTAATGACGCAAAAAAATTAACGAAATAACTACAAAACAGATATTACGCAACTGTTCTTTCATGGTTACCCGAATTTGATTAGCTATGAGAACTAACTCACATAACATTTAGATGAATTGAAGGCTAAAATACGCAACAAGTTAATTTGAAACACAATAGTGCACAGATTCATTACACTCGTATAGAGCATTAATGAATCTGCACTAAAAAATAGACTACCAGATCTCAACTGTGTAAAAACATTCGATTCATAAGTCATTGAAATTTTTGTGAGACACGGACTGAAGGGAGTGTTGAAGTGTATAAGGATAGAGATTTGCTTCCCCCCCCCCTTTCTCCTCCCTCACAGACCGTGACAGAGAAGCTTCAAAAACCATCACAGACCGTGACAGAGAAACCTCTAAGCATCACTGAATGTGACAGAGAAGCCTATGACCATCACAGACCGTGGCAGAGAAACATCAAAGACCATCAGGTGTCATAATAAACTTGGTAGATGGAAGATCAGTGGTTGTAAGTGATTCAAATTTCAGAAGACATATCAAAAATTTGCTCGTTGAAATTTTTGCCTCCTAAAACCCTCAAACTAAAGAGCTAGAAAACTGTATGGAATAAAAGAATATTATTTCTTCAATAACAACAGTTACTTCGTGTTTCACATTTTTAATCTCGCAAGAGATTGCGCTCACAGCTTTATTAAAATTATACGAATACTAAAATGTTTCAAGGTAATTGAATATTAATAAGGTTTTAACATTTATTGAACTTTACATCAATTAATCGAACGAGATAAGAATTTTAAATGAATAAAAAAGGCATTTAGATTATACAATCCAAATAACTTGAATCAACGTAAGTAAGGGAACATTTCAAAATTTTTGCCGGTCGGCCGGCCGCTCTGCCGTTCTTGTGCTACGGCATAACGGCACAACACATTTTTCTTTTCATTACATTTTGATAGATTAATTGTTCCCTTTGATGTATGTATACGTATACATCATGTATATTGTTCTATTTCTATTCAATATTCTTTAGCTCTAGACTATTTATTTTCTCCAAAAATAACGAAATTTTTTAATTCGTGATAAGATTTTCGTTTAATGTGATCACGTTGTAAACGTGATAATGATATTTGTCTCATTCTTTCTTAAGACCTTTTTGTTTTTTTTTCAATATCAGCTATCTATAGCTTCACATAACAAAAATTCTTTAAAAAGTACTTGAAAATTTGATGAAACGTATTATAAA